GGTGTGCTTCTTCCATGTGGGCTTTGATGCTTCTGAGCTAGATGGCCACTTGTTCATCTTCAGGCCTTTAAGACCCCCAGATGCTATATCTTTTAATAGCTGGGCACCATCAGCTTTCTTCACATTTGTTTATGCACACATTTGTCAGGAAGGTGTTCTGCCCAGTTTTATAGGGTCGCTATGAGCTTGAATTGACTTAAAGGCAGTTGATTTGGTTTTGAGGTGATATATTAATGTATTGTTTGTGATCAGTACTGTTTCACTAGTATTTGGTACTTACAGATAAGTTTGTTTAGTAAAGCATCAATTTATTAAAGTTTATTATGTCATCACTGTCTTTTTGATCTGGTTAAATATATTTGAGATGTAGATTATACATGAATAAACTTCCTCATATTTTTTTCCTTACTACTAATTGATAAATTTCCAACTCTCACATGAGATGTTATATAAATTCAAACCTCTCCCAAAGTATTTCTTCAGAAGTATGTAAGCAAACGAGTACCCAAATATTGAAAATGGAAGTGTATTTGCTTTGTGATTCTGAATCACCAAATTTCTGCTTGGAGAGAGAATATCGGTGAGAATGACATTTATCTGTATACAGCGATGTTAGTACAGGTATATGTCACTTAACATGCACTCTGGTGTGCGAGATAGGACATTATGTGAACATCATGTTAAATTAAAATCTTGTGGGAGCCCCATTCTGGCTATGCTCCATATACAGCACTGAGTCAGAATCCACGGTAGGCCAGCAGGTTTAAGGCTGTCTGTGGACACCAGCTGTGGATGACACAGTGTGGTGGATGAAGAGCTAGAAGCCAGTGAAGAGGGACAGGATCACACTCAGCCCTGGTCCTATTGTTCTGCTCACCTGAGCAGCAAGAGCAACCCGGGCCCCACTCCTCTGCTGCTGCTCTGCAGCCTGAACCATGTCTTCAGCCTCATCTGCAGAACAGATGAGAGCCAGTGCTGCAAGTGTGTTTAAAACTAAACCAAAGACCTGGTTTCCCTTTCAGAAAAAAAACCGTAAGGTGACCACAGATTTATATGTGGCCTAAACCTAAATGGGCATTAAAGCATTGTATACCTGAAAATGATAAAAAGGATTTTAAATTTTGTATTTGCATTCTATAACACTTTCAATCATATTTCAGATAATATTAGACTTTCAAAGAAGTATGAATGCTGGATATTTTTATTTAATTTACATGAAAGAAAATGTAAAAAAAAACCAGATTATCAGAAACATAGCTAAAATACATATGAAATACTAATTGCATATGTTATTTGTCAAGTAGACTCATAAATGTTTTAATGGTTTTCTGTGAACCTCTTTTGTGTTTAGGAAAAGGTTCAGAAAAAAAGTTTTAGACAACTGAAGACTACTATTGTTAATGTTACTTCTCAATGCCCGTTGTAAGTAATTTTTTATGAATCTGCTTTCCTCATACAGACTTGAAGAGACTATGGCACAATGGAGTTAATGCTTTTCTTTATTTTCACAGGAATGATGTTTACAATTTTAATTTGAATGGAGCTGAGGAACCTATTATAAAACTTGGAGTAAGCTAGAAATCAATAGTTATTTTGTATTTAGTTACTGAATAGTATTTTTATTTACTGTGTAGTTATTAAAGCTTACTTTTGTATTTCTCTTATAGTCATGTTTCAGTTTTTCAATATGTAGTGTATTTGGTTAATTTGCCTTGTCATATACAGTCCTCTTTCAAATCCTTTGGAATGAGGTAGAGAAAAATGCACAATTGTGGGAGAGACACTTCACTCAGACTAGTTTATGAAGGGAAACCCTTTCTTATTGTTGAAATAAATGTTAAAGAATTCTATTTTGCTTCTAGTGTATTTCATAGAATTAATTTCTTCAATATAGCACCACTTTAATATATTGTAGTAATCTCAATTTTACTGTCAACCTTTTTAGCCCATAAATAGAAGAAACTAGATTTTGTTTACTTCTTTTAAGTTTTTATATCCCTTATTTTGACACTAAGAGCTTGTTTTCTGTTTTCTGTTTATTCGCATCGTAGGTCCAGGAACTCCAAACTACAACTAGAGAATCCTGTGTGGATAATTCAATAAAATTGTAGGTGTTTTAATAATAAATTCCAATTAAGATGCACATATTTCTTTCACTCATTTCTTAAATAGTTCCTCAGTCTGTCTGAACACTTGTAACATTTGAGAAGAGTAGTTTAAAATACTGCTGCCATGGCTACTTCCCTCATGCTTCTTGTTAGTTTAGGGTGTATTTCTAAGGTTACTACTTAATATCCTGACGTTTGCACTGCTGATGTCATGTCTTAGATCATCAATCTGAAAGGGTTTGCTAATCCCTTAATGTAGTCTCATTATTTTATAATTAACTGATGTCAGGGAGGATCAGTGATTTGACCAGAACTCTATAGCTAATTAGTGAGTGTCAGGCAGAAACATAAGTCTAATTATCTAGTATATGGTACTTCAGATCAATGTAAAGGTATCTTAAAAGTAATACTTATTTTTGTTTAAGGGTAGACTTAAGTAACAAGGCTGACCGTGAACCTTCTCTCAAAACAAAAGAAAAAAGAGTAAGTCATAATAGCCAAATATGTCTACTAAGATCAGTATTTCTTTTTAATCACATTTTAATGCCAAAGACGATCATGGAACTGGAGGACAGACTTGGGTCCTTTTTCCCCCTCTGGAGTCTCAGTGGGTTTATATGTTGGGTTGCTAACTGCAAGTTCAGAATTTAAGAACCAGAGCCACTCCACAAGAGAAAGATGAGGGTTTACAGCCTTTCAAACCCACAGGGGGATGGGGGGTGGGGACACTTCTACCCTGTCCTGTAGGGTTGCTGTGAGTCAGATAAGATTCAATGGCAGGGAGATTATGAGATGACCCACGTTCCCCTTTTGGGCTCTGCGCAATCTTTAGTCCTGGTGATCTGCTTCCAAAAGCAGCCATTGAAAACATTACGAGTGCACACTACTCTGCCCCAGGGAGTCACCAGGTGTCAGAATCCGGCTAGGCCAGCTAGTGTAAGGCTGTCTGTAGCAATCAGCTGTTCTGATTTAACTTTTAATTTATAATACAAATCTCCATCTCTAAGTCACTTTTTTGTGTGTGTAGCTCCTCAATGCTTTATGGATTAGAAGGTTAAAAATGAGAAGTTGGTGCTTCTGGTTTGGGCTTAGTACGCCTTGCAAGGCATATAATAAGGTGTATTTTATTACAAGAGACTAAACTTTTACAGGTAACAGACCATGGAAAGCAGCATCTCTTTAGTGATAGTGACACAGATTTCTGGCATGATGACAGTATCAGCTGGTTAAGAGAACCAGAATCAAAACGGCAGCTGATAGACTACAGCCGAAGTAAACGCGCCAAGAGACAGAACGGTGGGGAAACAGGTAAGTAGCGTTTTCAAGAAATGCCCACTGCACATGACAATCCAGTATTAAGTGCTTTGTTGAAAGTAGATTTTTGTATATAAACAGTGTTTATAACTCAATCCTTATAAATAGAACACAAAAACGGTTGTCTTGTTTGGGGATTATGGTTCTGTTTTGTAATGAAAATAATGAGCTTTATTATTTAGATCTCCAAAGCACAATATATATGCTTTCTCATCATCATCCTTTATTCAGTACCTACTCTTAGCATTTGTCATTTAGTTAATTAGTAATACTGAACAATGTATTAAGTATTCATGAACCTACTGCCCTAAACCAAAACCATAGCTGATGTTGACACTAATGTACATGTAAGCATCCACGTAAGTAGAATGTGGATCTGCCGTACCCAACACAAGTTTGAAAATACACGTATGTATTATGTGGAGGCTTCAAAGTGTTCATGGGATAATTATCTTTTCATTCCATTTTTCCAAAACCTTTTTGGAGTTCTCTCATATTACATATGCAAACCTGCTAGGAATGCATATAAATGCATTAAGAATATACCAAAAGTAAAGTTTTTGTTAATCCAGCATATGTGTAATTTTGTGTCACTGAGGACCTGAATTACTTTGTGCAGCCATCCCCAGTGCCCATGACCGTACACAGATACTCTCTTCTTCCTAGCCGATGACTTCCTTTCCCCCCTCCTTGCAGCCAGGGGATGACTAAAAAACTTGGGTCTCTCTATGCAGTTACCAAGGTAGCTCATAGAAGGGGTGTCACATAAGATTTGTCCTTCTGTGTTTGAAGGCTGTTTTTTTTAAAAATATTCTTAAGTTTTCCAGACAACGTTTTCCAAATATACATTTCTACTTTTTCTTTGTGGTAGTGAATCTGTAAGTATGGCCTTAATAGCTTAACATCAATTTCACTGCTTACTAATAATGCACAAATATTTTATGTAGTTTATTTCAAAAGGAAGATTTAGGCTAACCCTGAGCACTTAAATTAAAATTCTAAATGGGAACCAGCTATGATTTTCATTGAGGACAAAAATAACCAGTAGTAACCTGCATGTGATGAGAATAGATGACAGATTAAAAGTAAGTAAAACTAGTAGACAGAGAAATGGATCGTCATATATAAAAGGGGCAGAAGTATGGTGTAGCACAGTGGCTAGACGGTGGACGGCAATTGAAGGCCTCTGGAATCTAGATGACGCGTGTGACAAGGCCGTGACAGGAGGGTGGACTCGGCTGCAGAGGGGTCACTTGCGGGAGAGAGAAGCCAGGGAGAAACCTGCAAGGCCTTCAAGGTGCTCAGTGATGTGGAGGGAAGAGGAGCACAAAGGACCTTTAAGACAAAGGGAAAGATCAGAACGTGTTGTGAATACTTGTGCTTTGCTTTCTTGGCTTGCAAACCGCATTTCATAGGCTTCAGAGAATATTTCGAAGACTTTTGTTTGAAAGGCAAAAGGAAGAGCGACCAAAGCTGGACTTCACAGTGTAGATTGGTGTTAGAAGCATCAGCAGTGGGTGCAAAATAAAGCCCAGGGTAGACTGCTATGCAATGCGATATCTTTTATAGTTTGTTATATTGCTTAAGGATGATATCTGTGGAATGAAATGTTATTTTTAGAGGAAGTGGATGAGAAACACAAATTTCAGGACAGTCTTAACCTTTTGTGTGTGGGCACAGTCAGGGGTATAAGAGAGTACACAGAAGTAGTGATCTAGTTCACAGATGTTCACTCTATAACTTCTTGTCTGTTTATGTTGTAAAACTTTAAAGGAAATTGGTCAATGATAGCATACCAAACATTATATAAGTAAAGATGTGTTCTTGTTTTTAGTTACATATGCGGAGAGACTCTAATAAATCTTAATGCCAACTCTTATTTGAAAAGTTAAACTTTATTTTTCTACTTTACAGGATCATTCTTAAAAACAGAACCACCAAGATATAAGAAAGTAATGGCAAGTTCACAATTCTTTAACACTATTATCATTAACAGTTGTTGCTTATAATTGTTTCTGCCTCTGTATACTTTCTCACACTTTCCATCATTTTAAAGCAGGCTAACCTTATTTGGAAACCACTTTATTCTATGGCCATAGATTTTATGTCTCACTAGTGATTTCCTGTACTAAGGATGAAGGAGGTAAAGAAGATATTTGAAATGGGATGATACAAAATCAGCTGGTTATTTGGAAGATTTAGACTTAGTCTCTCATTTATGTGTCTTGTCACAGTGCCAGTTTATATTTGTGGTGTCCCAAACATTGGTTAAATAATATTAAGGGATTTTTCCCCCTAAAGACACCTGGAAAAACCACCACTGGAAAGTTACATGATTTAGTTCCGGATGGACGAACCAGACTTCCACGAAGAGCAGCAAAGGTGAAAATAAATTATAAAGATCTCTCAAATTCAGACTCGGAGAGTGAAGCAGAATTGTCATCTAAAGAGAAAATGCCAGTAAAGGTAAACAGATACAATAAGTGTATCGCATAGAATCATAAAAATATAAATACTTTGCCACTTTTTAGACCTTCTATAGGAGAAAATGTGTAGACAAATTCTAAAATTTGATTCTTAGGCAATATAAATGCTAAATTTTGTAATCCCATATATACTTGAGTATAAGCTGACCCAAACATCAGCTGAGGCACCTAATTTTACCATAAAAAAGGTATAAAAATGTGCTGAAAAGCTCGGCTTATACACAAGTATATACGGTAAATTGCCATTAGTGTTACAAAAGAGATAGAGCCAAATACTTCATCGTTCAGAAAGTATGTTAGGAAGCTGGATCTTTTCTCTTGAATGAGAGCAAAATTACTGGTCTCTGAAGTGCTTCCTTTATTCTGAACTACCTTTGACTATTATGTACATATCCCCAGCCACCTATTCCTGAAAGGCTTTAATCAGTATAAAATAGCATTGTACTTATGAGGTGCCAGGTGCTGTTGAAGGCACTTTATGGATTTAATTTTTATATTCTCATATGCACTGAAGTGAGGAGGACGATTACAAATGAGAACCTTGAGCTTAAAGAGGCGAAGGAACTTGCCTGTGGTCATGTAGTTCTGGATGGTAGCGTTTGGGACTCATAGCCAGTATATCTGATCACTACACAAATTACAAATCTCCACCTGCCATTTCCCCATGTGTTCAACCTATTTCCACATATTCTATCATTTTAAACTTACCTTACAGTCAGATAAACCTCCCCACACCACCACACATCCCTCCCCTATTCAAAGAAAACTCTGACCAACATTCCAAGAAAGAAAATACCTTTTTGCAAAGCGTACTTCTCTTCCCTAGTAAGTCCCCAGAACAGAGCTGTCATGTCAAACAGAACCTGCGCTCTGCTGCTCTCAAGCCCTGGAGCCTCTCGTGTGAACCTTAAGATCTAGGAAAGCTCTGGTCTCTGATACTTGCCATCAATCTTCCTGTGTACTTGTCTTATGCCTTCTTAGGTATAATAGTCTTTCCCTGCCCCTGGTTGGGCCCTTGTTATGCCTGTATGTTGGAGGGAGAGTGTTTGTGTGTAAGATATGTAATTCAATATTTATATTTCAAGTATAAAGTTTTGTCAACACATGTAGGAGGAAACTACCCATTCTAAAACCATAAAGCGTCCCAAGGAATCACAGACTACTGGAGCACCAGAGGAGCCCCCAAAAGGGTGGGAGAAGTTGTCCAGACCCAAGGACACAGGAGATAGCAGTCTTGATGTTTCCTCTGCATCTCTGTCTGGGATGCCCTCGTCGGTAGAAGTAATGAGAGGTATTAGCTCTCCTTTAGTAGAATAATCAATACTGTCCTATAAACAATTAAAGAAATAATTGAGGAGGTTGGTAGTCGAAATATTGCTTTGAATGGGTTAATGCCAGTAATTCAGTTTTTGCTAAGTAGACTTGGGACAATGTTATTAGGGCAATGAAATTTCCATGGTAGGAAGTCAAAACACACCAATATAAAAGGGTCAGATATATATTCCCAAACACTGAAAGCACAAATGTGTAATTTTTATGTTTTTATCTTAAAACATGCCAACAATTGGGCTGGGGGTGTTGTTTTTGCCATTTTGTGGACAAAGCTAAGGAATATCCTGGTGTATTCAGTGGACATATATTATCTACACTGAGGTTTGTTTTTTTAGAAACTAGCATTCTTAGAAGCCTCGGGTACTTTCACAGTGCTCAGGATGACTGTCATTTCAGATGAGCACAGTGGACAAACAGCTATGCAATGAGTTGTATGGGAAGTCATAGTTGGCTTCCCTGTGGCCATCAGGCAGGTGGCAGATGTGACTCCATGCTCCATCCTTCTTTGTGACACCAACCGTTCCTCCCATACTCTCCACTTCTAAGTTAGGCTCATTGGCCCCACAGAACTCAAACAATACTTAACATTATGGGGGGTTATTAGGGAAATAGGTTACCACAAATCAATGGTCCATAGCAACACTTGTCTCTCAGTCATGTCTTCCTGGAAGCCAGCCCATCCCTTGCTCAGTCCCAGAGTCTCAGCCTCCGCCACTTCAGACATAGACCTGGAGTGTGCCCTTTCAATGGTGGTGGGCTTTCTCGGCCTGGGATGGTTCTTATACACAGAGGAATGGTTTTGATAGGGTTTGGTTTGGTTTGATCTTTTTGCAGGTCTTGCCCCCAAGGAAACAATGGATGGTGACTTAAATCACACCCTCTAGCAGAGTGTAAACATTCCCTTAGTCCTGTAGAATGCCCAGAATTACAAAACCTCACCTAAACGTAGACCGGTCATTGACTAGACCTCAGACAGGGCCTGATTTGATCTCTAGTCATACTGACAGTGCAGCCATAAATTTCCTCACTGGGAATTAATTCCCAGGCAGATTATACCCTAGTTAACACTATATATGCTTTTGTTGAAAATGTTCAGGTAAGATTTGAGGAATAGATAAATTAACTATGAGATTTCTAAAGCAGTTGTCAGTATTATAATGATGCCTGTTTTTTGTTCCATGTGGCAATCTAGGTCTAGAAGAAATAACAGAGAGGGAGTCTACCCACGATTATGGTTGTGTAACACCTCAGAAAAATTCATCACTTGAGTCCTTAAATAGTAAAAATGACAGCAATGAGAAAAATTCATGTACAAGAGAAAGTTGCTCACCAATTCCACATCCATTTTTGGTAAGAGAGATTATTCTCTGAAGGGAGTCATGTTTGAGCTACTGTCGAGTTGGTTCCAACTCACAGTTAAATGTTACCTTGACCCACACCGTCCTCAGAGTTGTTTTGCTTGAGTCCACTGTTGCAGTCCTCTCCTAGGTGGTCTTCCTACTCTTCCGTGTTCTTTACTTTAGCGGACATCATGGCTTCTCCAGGATCTGGTCCTTCTGCAAGAATTACTTAATGTTCACCAACATCCTAACTTAAAGGCATAGTTCTTACTCTTCTTCCTTACTCATCGGCCAGTTTCATCAAGGTCTCCTGAGTCTTCAAAGTGACAGCCTGAAAGGCAGTCTTTTGTTGTGAATCCAAGGATGGGGTAATCCTTAACAACCTTAATTTCCCCCCATTTATCCTGATGCTCTTTATTGGTCCAGTTGTGAAGACATTTATGTCCTTAATGTTGAGGTGTAATCTTTGATCGTCAAGGTTCTGTCATCTATTTGCCTATCATCAAGTCTGCACGTGCACTGCTGATGTCCCTCAGGTTGTTGGCGTTGGCCTGAGGTCTGGGGGTAAAATGTAAGATACATTCTCAGCTGCCAAGAAGCCTACAGACAAGAGGTAGATGAATGGCAGTGTGGGAGTAAGGGTGGTGGCATGCTACAGAGGATTCTGTAACAGGAACAGCCATGGCTGCAGACCAGAAAAATGCACTTTTGAGATTCCAGTACATATGTTCCTGCCACACACAGGCACTTTTCCAGATTTCACTCTCATTCAAAGTGTGTAACCTTTCGTTGCTAAATTAGGAACCCTAAGTGGCACAGTGGTTCAAACCCACCGGCCCTTCTGTGGGAGAAAGATGTGGCAGCCTGCTTTTCGAGTCACACAGGGTTTCCAAGGCGATCTTTACGGTAGCATCCGCCACATCTTCTTCCTGTGGAGCAGTTGGTCGATCTGAACCAACATTGTGTTAGCCGTTGAGTGCGTAACCACTGTGCCACCAGTGCCCCTCCTGTACAACTTACAGCCCTAGACTGTGGGGAGCAGTTCGACTCTTCCCCAGGTTCAGCAGCAGCGTGGTGACAGCAGGCTTGCTCTCAGCTACCAGCCATATGACCAACACATTTCTGTGTCAGTTTTGAGTCCTGGTGGTCCTGTAGGTGTACAGATTTGGAAACCCATGTGGCAGTTCTTTTCTGTCCTAGGTTTGCTGTGAGTCAATGGAATGACAGTGAGGTTGGTTGTTTGGGGTTGTTTTTTTAAACACAAGCTCTTAAACCTCTGACACAGCTAACCTTTGTCCTACCACCTTGAACCAAACATTCTTTTAACCCAGCAGCTTCACAAAAATATATATGTATATTTCATGCAAAGCTTATATAAAACCCCAATGTCTTTGCTGACAGCAGAGGTGGGGAGCTAGCCTCCCTATTTCCCCCTCTCCCCCTGAAGTACTTCTGGGATATTCTATTTCTATAATATTACATTTTGAAAACCAACGTCCCACCATCCTATCTTCTCTCGGGTCCTTTATGTCAGTACTGACTGACCTGCCTCAGTTTCCCCTCAGACTCCCATCTTTCCCTTCTTGACATCAAGGACATGCCTATCAATGGAATCCTTAAGGTTAGTTGGTGCTAGATGTCACTTTAATGTGTTGGCTGCTCACACATGAACCAGATTTGTTTCCCCATGACTGTGGGTCAGGCCCTGGATAGCTTCCCCTGGGTTTCAGTGCTGTTATTCTCCTCTGTCATTTGCTGATCTCAGCATCAGGGGTACTTAGATAGTCAAAGTTGGTTTTTTTTTAATCCATTCTCATATTTATAGAGGTCCTTTGTATTTATTCTGGATATTAATTGATTTTTTGCTATGCACAATGCAAAATTTCTTTTTCCAATATATACTCTTCACTTGCATAGAAAACTTTCATTTGATATAATATTCAATGAAATTTACCTATTTTTTGAGTTATACTACCCTTCCCTAAGCTGTTCTGTAAAAACAGCTTATTTTTGCATATAAATTTCCAGTTAACGCAGTATTACACATGGTACATTCCTCCCCTATCACTGTACCGTGGGCTCCTCCTAGGCCTCTATGCCCACAGGAATACCCTGCAGTTGCACACTCAGTGGCCATTCAATCCCCTGCCTTTGACTTCAAAATGTCCTTGGTCCTTTAAGGAGAAGGCTGTCACTTCCCAGTGAGTTTCCTTTTCCTCCAACAACTTTGAATTGCCTTAACTGAATGACTAGAATCTTCTGGACTTTTCTATATAGATAACCATAGTCAACTGTTCTTAATGCTTTGGGCATCTATGGAATTTTGTTAGATAATTTTCTCTTTTTCATTCATAGCCCAACCATACTCCTGTATCTAAGAATACTACGACTGGGAATGGTCCTGGAGCAATTCCACAAGAAACACAAAATTCCAGCAGTTATTCAGATGTAAGCAGTTACAATCCACAAAAACCGTTTGTAGAAAATGAACTTCCAAATACCATTGAGAGTTACACAGAAACACAAACAGAGGTAGGTGTAACACTAAACCTTGTCAAACTTGCCTGAAACTAAGATCATTTGTGAAATAATCAGATTAGCCTTTAATAGTAATTACAAGGGAAATTCAAAAAGTTCATAGAAAAAAATGGATTAAAGAAGCCCCTGTGTATGACATTTTAATATTGGTACATAATTTTTATCTGATGTTTAAGGTAACATGGAATGGCTTGATCATAAGGGGAAAAATGATAGAAGGTGAAGAGAATGAGTGTAAATAGCTGCTGAACCACTGACATATTTAGCATTAAACCTTTGGATTCAAGATTATATAGGAACTTGGTTGAGCTTGCTAATCTATAAGATAGAGAAGGTCAAAACAGGCTTTTACAGCTAGACGAGGAGCACTGGGGCCTGAACTGGACCTAGTTTACATACATGCATCTTTCCACTAAGCAGGGAAAGAGCAGCAACTCCTTACAGAAAGGAAAGGAAATAATCTACATGCTTACAGATTAGGAAGGAGACTAATCAGAGTGGTGGAAACAATGTAAATAAGGGGGGAATATAAAGGTGTGTTGTAAAGGTATGAATTAGAAACCAGGAAAAAGGATCTAAATTTTTTTTGTTAATCTGTGACTTCTCATTTCCTGACTCAAAACAATGAAAATCCTACTAAAGAAGAATTTAAAAAGCATGTCCCCCACCCCACTCCCAAAGCCGACCCCCTTGCCATTAAGTCAACTGCCAATTAGGGACCCTATAAGCGATTCCAAGGCTATAAACATTTTCCTCTTGAAGAGTAGCTGGTGGATTCAAACAGCTGACCTTGCAGTTAGCAGTCCAGCTCATAACTGCCATTAGGGCTCCTCTGAACCCAGAGGGATATTCAAAAGGCAGCTACAAGACTGCTGTCTTTAAGGAGTGAGGCTAACCCATGGCTGTGTTGAGATGAAAAGGGACGGAAACACCGGTTGGTGGCTTTAGAGCGGAGTGAAGTGGTCAACGGTCATTCCAAAGGGACCTGCAATACTTTTAATTTCTAATGTGTATTTTAGGAAAGCAATTCCGTGTTTCCATTGTCCTCATCTAGTGAGAGAAGAGAGGACGATGGTTGTAGCACATCTTCTGACACGGCTCATGCATCATCAGGTGTGTAGTCCTTTCTTTGCTCTAAGATTACTCTTTACTGAAGTACCGTGATACTATAAAGCATAGTGAATTTCAAAATGCAAATAAACACGATGGACTTCAATGTACAGTTTCCTAAAACATAATGCAAATAAATGAAAAGCTTTTAAACAAGCAAGAAAATATTAGGTATTTTTAATCATCCCTAAGGTGCCACTCAGCATCCTAATCGCAAACGAATGTACATAGATGATGATGGGCATAATTCTGATGATATAGAAATGGAAGAGCAAGAAGAACGGAGACAGAACTTGCTTCCCCCAAAGCTGTCTAGAATGGAAGGTGTAGATCATCCCACCTCCACAAGTGAGTAGAGCAGATGCCTTGGTGCAACCAGTTAGGTGGTGGCTCCTGAGGTCACTCAGGGCTTCATCTACACACATTCCCATGGAGACTGCTGCTTTAGCACATGGGCCTTATCTATGGATCGCCTATCGCCACATGTCAGTCTTAGAAGAGTATGCCTTGACTGATTTGTTATGAAATGACAAGTTTCATCTTTTTTAATTAAAAAATGTTATCTATACCCTGGATTTCTAATCTTTAGATACTGTAGCTGGTTGTCCTCACTTTGTAGCATCTGAAAACGTATCCGCACTTTCATCATATGAGTATATTCCTCAACTGGATTGCAAAGTGGAACATTCACGGATGACGTATGAGAAACTCCGTAATGAATATAAGAGGAAGGCCCAAGTGAGTGATCATTAATTATGACTTATATTGTCCTTTCTACTAGATTGTCAGTAACTCCATCCTTTGGAGCTATACACATGCCCAGGAACCCAAATTTCCTCAGACACCAGTGAACCCTTAGAATGACGATTAGGTTTATTTCCTGCTCTGACTTAACATTTTTCTTTTCTTGGACAAAGAAAGTTTCCCTGATGTGCAGGTGGGACAGCGAATCAGGGATGGGTAGTTCAAGTCCTAGCACCAGCTCTGGACACCTGTAGTTTCCAGTACACTGACGCATAGAAAAGGGCTGGCCATGGATTCTACCTCATTCTGTGGTTAGGAGTATATTTTTATGGAAAACTAAAAGGATTTCAAGTGTTATAGACCTATCTTAGTGATATTTCATAGCTCAATATATTTTTGGTTGTTTTTTTCCAAGTTAAATATTTTTCAGAATTACTGCATGATGGATTATTTTACCAAACAGTCTTGGAAATCGATACAACAACATATGGCAAAAGTGAGCCACCAAGTTCAAGAGTCCAGGTGTGTAATCAAAACCTCTTCTGATAGCTTGTGAATGCTAGAGTTTTTGAAATTAATTTCACTTCATTTTTGTTACCAGGAATGAAAAACTTGATAAAATCCAATTCACCATCCTACAAGAGCTGGAAAACGTTGAAAGAGAAGCAGAATCCCTAACAGTTTTGGAGAAGGAATTTGCGGTTTGTGCTTTTAACAAATATACTATAGGAAAAGCCTTCCCTCTGCTTTAGCACACCCTAAATGTTTTTTATTCATGATCCTGTTTTTATTTCTCCGAAAGAAATACTGAGCATAGAGCCAAGTTAAGTTTTGTAGAACTGTGTTTTAATATTTAAAGTTTAACTGCTTTTATCTACCTTTAAAACAGGACTTTTGGGAAAAGCTGATTCACAAGCTCACTATTTATCAGAAAAGTGAGCGACAGAGGTCAGTGCAGTTTGTATTCTGCATGGCAGGGTATTACGTATATGCTCCAGCTCAGTGCTCTCATCACTTCACTTGTTAGGCTCCATGTTCTGAGAACCTCTCTTGATGAAAACATCTGCACCAACACTGAAGAGGAAGATGCCATGTTTACTTCGGAGGTACACATTCATATGCAGTCTCTAATATTGGTTGCTCTAACAAAAATACTAATAAACTCCATGATGGAAATGCATTTATTTATTTCCAGATGTGCGTGATGAAAGAAAACATGAAAAGGATACAAGACAGGCTTCTCAAGAAAATGGTAAATTGAATATCTAGTCAGGTCTTTATGAAGAGAAATTCTTGGGTTGTGGAAAACTTAGAATAATGAACCCATGAGCGCTGTAGTCGGCCTGAGGAGTATCGTGACAGTTACCCAAAGGCTATATATACGCTAGGGAAGAACTGTTCTCCCTGTGGGGCTTAAAGGAAGCTGCTTTGAGAAAACACCCAAAGTTGGCAGGCATGTTGGTCACTTTTTGGCTTCCTTAAATGTCAGTGATGATCATGAAGAATGAGCACTGATACACTATAAAAGGGTGGTTTTAAAACGAATCCTAGTGACGGTGAAATCTAAGTGTAATGATTTCTTCCCCCTTGGTGGACCACCATAGCAAGAGGAGGAGCTTCGTCATGTACGCAGAGGGCTGTCGTCATTATTTACGTCTGATGAAAGAGCCTAGTTAATGTGTTTCACCTGTGCAAGTGTTTCACATGGGACAACACTTTATTCAGTTATCGCTCCAATTAGAAGGCACAAAATAGCCCAGGTAGAAGTCTTTTAAGCAGGCTGTTTGATAAATCCTGGTGTTCATTGTAATACTTTGATGCTAGCAAATTGTATAGATTTTAAGTTGAAATAAATAGATACATTTCCATTGTTTCCAATTTATCTACTGCCCCCGTTCTGCCTGGAGAGAAAATACGTCAATCAAGCTTTAAGTCAGACATTTCAACTGGGTACTCAGGCCTGTTGGAGTCGGGCCATCGAAGGACAATTGTAGCCTATGTTTATTTAATTTTTTTAAAGACCTCTCTAACTACTGCCCTCCTCTACAGAATGTTTCTTAGGAACTTTTATATTGTACACCTTGGGTTTCTCAGTGCTGATCTCCTCCGGCAGTTTTGTTCTGCCCCTGTCATAGCCGTCTGTTCACTCCCCACAGCAGACCTCGAAATTCTTCCTCCAAAACACTCAGCTCCAAAGTTAGGCACAAGTCTTGAAGTCCCCATTCCCAAAGTATGTCCCACGCATGGTTAATTGCTGCCACGCCTTCACCATGTGACTAAGTGGGAATTCCTGGGTGGTTCAACACATCAATGGAATCAAGAGGGGTGAAAATACCCACTCATGTCAGTTAGTGCAGGAAAAGTATTTGACAAAAGTCAACATACTTTCATGATAGAAGGAATCAAGTGGGGACTTCAACATGACAAAGACTATATCAACCATCCACAGTCAACATAATAATCCTCAATGGTGAAAGAAAACCAAAAAGACAAGGACGAACACTTACGTCACCATGACTATTCAACACTGCCTACATGCAGACAAGAAACAAATTCAGAAAACTCACAGGACACCCAATGAGCATGCAAAGGTCACTTGTATTTCTGTACACTACCAAACAGCAATCTGAAACAATATTTACACTAGCATTAAAACAAAGTGGGAATAAATTTGACCAAGGAGAGGTACAAGATTTATACAAGTACAAAACATTGCTACAAGAAATGCCCTAAAGCATACAAAGATGCCCCAGGTTCATGGCTTAGAAAACAATGTGAAGATGGCAGCGTTCCATCCAAATAACCTACAGCTTTAACCCAATATCCATCAAAGTCTCAATGGCTAATTTTTGTTGTTACAGAAATAGAAAAACTGTTCTTGAAACTTAAATGGCAACACAAATGACTCATTTTTTAAATCGTCAAAAGGAGGGTGTGTGGTAGTTAAGGTTTTATGAGCCCTGATGGTGTAGTGGTTACAAATTAGGTAGTGATCCGCATGGTCAGCAGTTTGAAACCACCAGCAGCTCAGCAAAACGGGAGGCTTTCTATTTCTGTAGACAGGCTTGGGAACCTGAAGGAGGTCTTTCAGGAGTCGGCATTGACTCCATGGCAGTGAGTTTGGTTTTTTGTTGTGAACTTGTATAGGAGTCCTGGTGGCATGCTGGTTACCAGTTGGGCTGCAGTCTGCAAGGTTACCAGCTCAAAACTACCAACTACTCCGAGAAAGGGCTTTTTACTCCCATACAGAGCTACCATCTCAAACTCACAAGGGCAATTTTACCCTGTCCTATAGAGTCTCTATGAGTCAGTCTGGACTGTATGGCAGCGAAGTTAGTTTTTGAATTTTAAAGTGTAGGAATGACATTCAACCTATTAATCAGGTCACAGCCTGATCATGACCCCTTGGGGACTGACAACTGCTCCTTCCTCTCTTGCCTTTCACCTTCATCCTTGCTGGGAGTCTGTCTGCCTCCGTTGACAGATCCGCATGGGCTGCTGACCTGGGGAGCCAACATCTGAGCTGTCTTTGCCCTGTTTCCACTGAACTTGCATCCAGCTGACTGCACCCACTGGCTTCCTGCTTTGTGAGAAACGACCGCTGAGGGAAACATGACAGGGACTCTATTCCCTAACTTAGAGGGACTCTGGAACGCCACCACTTTGATACAGTCCAAGTACATTAGCCTGCTTTAAATATCATTCCCACAGATTCTCCCGACAGCTATGCTGCCTTAAAGTGAGTACATGGTTGATTTTATCTTCCTACAGAAGCAGACATTCTGTTGCTATCTCTTCCCGCTGTGTCACCCAGCTCCCCTCATAGCTTCCTCACCTGTGAGCTCAGGGACCTTACTGTAGATTCCACCCACCTTGTAACGTATATACATACTGAATATGCATGTCTTATGGCTACCTATAAACATACCAAGACAGTAAAGACTCTCTTCCCCCACCTCCGTGTGGGCCACCAAGAGGGACTGAGGGGAGCATGCTACCATCAAATGTGTCTGATTCCTTTATTTTATCCTCTCCCCCATCTCTCCTATTATCTATGACGTGACTATGATCTTCGTCTGTTAGCATTGTACCGTTGTGCCTCCTGACCCTTCGGTTGCTAGAGGTTGGCTTCCTGACACTGCTTCACCTGTCTGCACGTACAGCTGTGTGACCCAGGACGGCCTCAGCTAGCGTCACGTGTGGTGTGGGTGGGCTCCGGATTAAGATTCAGTTGCTTCTTTGATACGAGGTTCCTTCTTAGACCACCTGGCCTCACACAGGGGAAGAAGAGTCTCCTAAATGAATGGGAAAGGGGAGAGCCACTTGCAAAAGACTGATGTCTCACCCCTAGACCTCATTGCAGCAAGGAAACAAATCACAGTGGACCAAAGGTCTAAAAAAGCTATAGCTCTGAGATTCTTTGAAGAAAAAGTAAGTGATAAATCGTTATGACCTTCGATTTGGCAACAGACTCAAGACATAACAAAAGCACAAAAAAATTTAAAAATTGGTCTTCGTCAAAATCTAAAATGTTTTTGCACCAAAGGACATATTCAAGTAAAAAGACTGCCCACAGAATGGGAGACAATACTTTCACCTCCTATTTTGAGAATGGTCTCATAACCAGAAAACACACACGTGCAGCAACAACAGACGAAGGACTGGACTGAATGGTGCTCTAAGGAAGCACACGAATGGCTGGTGAGCACATGAAACGATGTTTTGCTTAAAGGGCCACAAATCATTTCAGGCTTTGTGGGCCAAGAGAAATTTGAACACAATCACACAAATATTTAGTTTGCAGGCCACTTAAAAAAAAGTGGCTAATTTTTCAGTGACTATTAAGCATATTGAGCAGTGACTAGCAGCTGAAAATTCTCGATCTTTTGATTTCAAAGACATGGCTTGCATTGCTTAGCATGATCAAAATTCAACACCTTCTTGGCATAGGTTCACTACACATTCTCAACCGAATACAGCTGCAAGGTTACAACTGTTCAAGAATACACACAGTAAGGTGTGTGTGTGTGGGGGGGGGTGTTTCAGAATTAGTACAGCCAGGCACAGCAATCACCACACTCCAGGTGTCGTTTCAAACAAATAAACATGACCAGTGCCTGGGACCCTGGATGCCAGCCACCGATTTAAAAGGCCTTAGAATAGGAAAGTATGGTTTTCTTCAAGCACTTGATTCCATCTTAAATTTGCTGTCTTCAGAGTGACAAGAGTCTCCCAGCTCTCGGCTCTGTGTCCTGTGTGAAGCTCCACAGCTGCCACTTTGTCACTATCACCTGCTAATACCACTTTCTAGGCACGTTCTAAGCATACCTAATTAAAGCTGAAGTGAGTAAACAGGGACAGAATGAAAAACAACCAAGTCAGATATTGAGCAAAATCATAATGCTACGAAATACGAGCAAGCCACCGTCCGACTGACCGGCCTAACCTGGGAGGCAGGAACCAGAGCAAGACAGTCGTGGTCCTGGCTGTCCAGCTATAATCCCGGCGTCATCTGGGGGAGCAGGCGCAGACAGAACTGCCTGCCTGCCTTTCCTGGCATACACCTGAGTCACAGTAGCTTTCCAGTATAGGTGTACCTTCCAAAAGAGAATAGAGTTCATTTCGAAAGGAACGATGCATATAAAAAACAAGCCTACCAATTTCAGCATGTGTACCATATCCAGACTTCTGCACCAGGTTTATAAAGATTCTTACAAAGATGCAATTAACATGCAAATATAATTTCCCTGTTCACATTGTCAAGGATATTTACAGTGGAAATTGACACTAAAAATGCTTTTGATTACTTGACACAGAAGGTACTGCTCTGTGCTCGCAGACCTATGGAACTTACAACTGACAGTTTTCCTACTGCTCATCTAACAAATTTTATTTTTGTCTAAGTGGTTAATATCGATCAAATCTTAGAAACTTTTATTTCATGTGCTCAGTTAAACAATCATGCATAAGCATCTTCAGATATGTTTCTTTCATATGAAAGTCGAGTAGAAAATCACTGGAAACCAAATGGGTAAAATGGGTATTGGAAACTGGTGGAACTGATAGTTTTAGTATTACATTTTGAATTTTGTGTTTAGAGGCGTTTAATTATATAGCTAAATATTTTTATAACTTACATCTAATATCTGAAGGGACTTCAAGTTTGTGGGAAAATTTATCTTTTTATTCCCTTTTCCATAAACTTTTTGGAGCACCCTCAGATAACTGAATACATTTAGACTCATAATTTGCCACACATTTCCATAAAAGGTACACTTCCTGTTGCTAGATGGTTTTGCTATTTCCCAAAGTCACTTGTCTCAAATTTATTCAACTATAATCTCAAGTCCCTTGAAGATTTTTAATGTACTTTATACAACATTATATACCATCCCCTATCATATTAGCTTAAATAGTTTTGGATACTTCTAAAGGAAATTTAATTCCCATACAAAATCACTAACAACATGTTTAATTCATTAATTATGTGCCTTAAACATACAACTAAACACAAATCCCACCTGCTAGGTAGTGTCTAGCCAGAGGTCAGACATTCACGCCTATCAGTCACAGCACAGGTGTTCCAAGCAGACTGAGTACCCCCTTGTGTTTCAGGCTGGGTAGATTCTAAAATAGCAGTACTCCTGCCTTCCCCTTATAATAAATACATGGATCTTGCTCTGCCAGGGGATGGAAATCTTAGTTTTACATAATTTGGCCTCCAACTGAAACCACTTAAATTTGAATAAAATACTAAATGGGAACCGCTAACAAATACATTAGCATAAATTAGAAAACAATTAGACACCATTTTAAATGGTGCCCACAATGGGTTATGAGTGAAATAGAATGTACATACCTTAATGCTTATACAATTGAACTGACTTCTAGCTAGAAAGGTTCTAGAAATTGAATCACATGACCTCTGAGCATCAAAGAAGTTTCCCCAGCTGTAATTCTTTCATGAAAACCACTTCTTATAAAAGCCTACCACTCAAAGAGTGTGTGTGCTAGCACCTAGGGCTATCACAAGGCCCATGGAACAGTGTGCTGCCACAGAATGGGGTTTCCAGGGGCTCTGCTCCACCTCTCAGCGAGGTAGAAAAGTTAAGGTGCTGGGAAGCAACAAGGTAGCAGGTGCAACCTGGCCACCATATAGATGGTATCCTTTCCTAGGCACTCCCCAAGCGCACCTCACTCCAGTACCAGCAGTGCTGCGTGGGAGGCTCGTCCTGCAGACAGGCAGCCTTGGCTGAACGCCAGGGTTTGCCTCTGAAAGCTCTCAGGGGCCAAGTTCCCTCAGCTGTGCTCGCCCCCCCCCACCCCCCCTTGCCTGCACTGGAAGCAGGCTCATTTCTGTAAGGACACTTAGTCACAGACCAGGAGGAAATGTTCCTCAGAGCTATGGTCACTTAACTTACCCCACCCCACCCTTTGTATTAGCTGTGAATGCTTGCCTGCATGCATGGCCAGTGCCCTCTCTAATCCTTTCTCCAGCAAACACTGCTTCTCTTTTTACCGGGTTTGTCATAATGTTTATAAATGTGAGCTTTAAACAGATCTCAAACCATGAAGACTTAATTTCCAGTTTGAGAAAATTACCTCTGGGCTGAATGATCTCTTCTATACTTGGTAACTGAAGGTTTTTACCTGAACTCAGAAAGGGTGACTTGGTTTTCCGAGGCACAACCGACATGTACTAGCAATTCAAACACACAACACACACACACACACACACACACACACACACTGCAGCTCTAACACGTGGATTCTGATGGCTCAAATGGAATAAAGTGTGACTTGTCTCACAAGACTCATTTTAACAAGCCTCTTGCCCCCAGCCCCAAAGAGAAGGTAAAGCCTGGGTCCATTTCCTGAAATAGGTCATCATTTAATTAAAGAACAAAATGATCAGGAATCAAAAGGTTGCAGCTGTCATATTTTGTTAGGCATTATATAAAAAAGGGGAAAGTATAATACAACAACCTGTTTTGTGTAACATGAACTCAAAAGACTTCCAAATGAATCGTGATCAGAATAAAAATGCCTTTTCCACATAATACTGAAAGACACCGTCACATGTCAGAGGCCCGGGGTGGTATCCTGTGCATGCACGTCTCCTGTCCGTCTGTCCAGCTGCACGCTGTGGAAAACAAGGTTCAAAGGCAAAAGACAGTTTTCTTCTGGCTGAATGATTTGGGTCTTAACTGACCCCAATAGGTCACAGGTCATACTCTCCTGGCACCAAATAGTAAAACGCGTCCTCTGTTTCCTCTGTGAATGTGCAGAGACGTCACCTGGGGGTGTGGGCATCCGCCTCTCAAACACACCACGTGATCTTGAGCTTCAGGAAAATTCCCTGATGAATGTTCAGTGTTGGTATCAAAAGTTAAACACAAATTCTTCTCAGAAGAAAATCTCTATGGCCTATGGAATCTGAAAGTTATATTAAAAAAAAGAAATTTTTATAAATTCGTGAAAATGCACCCAAATCTTCCAAAAATAAATGGGACAGGTGATTAGAAGCTCCCTGAAGACCATTATATGAAACATGGAGAGAGAGCTGTTCAGGGCAAAGGATCATATGTGAACTGTGGACCCCAACCCCAGACCCCAAGATAGTACACTGGATTTAAGTTTCCACAATTCGTCTGTCAGCTGGCTGGTAAGCTGCTGTGATGCTGAAGGTCCTGCTGACCAACATCTCAAATACTAGCAGGGTCAGTCAGCCACGGTCAGCAGGTTTCAGCAGAACTTTGGGACCAACTGGGAAGAAGTAGGCTATCTCCCGAGAGACTGGCCAATGAAAACCTTCGGAAGAGCAGAACGTTGTCAGGCCGCCAGAAGATGAGCCGCTCATTAGGAAGGCACTCAAAACAGGACCGGGGAAGAGCTGCCTCCTCAAAGTGGAGGTGACCTTGACAGGGATGGCACATGACTCAACAGGGGAGGAAAAGTCGCAAGCACCCAGCAATAATCAGAGCATGTATGAAGGCTAGATCCAGGAAAACTGGAAGTCATCAAAAGTAAATGGAACTCAAAGAGCAATACTGCAGACATGAGTGAGCCCAAATAGGCCAGTATTAACCATTTTGAGCTGGGCAAACATGAAGTGTTATCTCAGGAAAGACAAACTCAAGGTAAAGAGCATCTCATCATCAACAACACTTCAGTATCTCTTATGAAATGCACTCCTGTGTGGGACAGAAGACTAGTTAATCCAACTATTACTCAGATGTATATACCAACCACTAAGTTATGAAGAAACTGAAAGACTTAACCAACTTCCTTGGTCTGAAACTGATCAAACGTGCAGTCAAGATGCACTAAGGATTACTAGAAACTGGCATGAAAAAGTTGGAAACGGGAAAGATCAGTAGTTGTAAAATATAGCCTTTGTGATAGAAACAAAACTGGAAATCTTCATTAAATACCTCTTTTTCAAGGTAAACGGGGCCTATGGAATACACAGGCATCGAACGGATTACATCCACGGGAAGAAATGATGATGAGAGCTCAGTATCACCAGTCAAAACAAGGGCAGAGCCCGGCTGTGGGACAGATCATCAATTTTCTCATTCAGGTCGTCACTCAAGAAAATGAAAACAAGTCCGTAAACAGCAAAATGCAACCTTGAGAGTACCCCACCTATATTTAGAGAACATATTAAGAACAGATATGGCACATGAACTGGTTGGCTTACAGACTTTCATTGGTGGGGGAACATAGTCACAGGATTATAGGATTAAGGTGTAGGTGTTACTTAATTGCAATTGTGAGGCTAAAGAATGATGTACAGGTGCCAAGTTGGCAAGGGGTGGATTGAAGTAGTTAAAGTTCATTGTGCCAACCTGGTCGATAAACACATATGGGGTTCATTGAAGGGCAGAGAGATACATGGCTCAGTGAGCCTCGCCTTTCCAGTTCTCGGGTCTCTTGCTTTGTGATGGTCAGACCAGGGTGCAGCTGCCTTATCCAGTTCCCTGCTTCAGCTGGCAAGGCTCACTTCCTGCAAGACATCCCCAAAGAGAAGCAGCACTGACCTACCCCAGTGCAGCCCTGGGTGCTGGAGCAGCCGTGTGGAGACTCCTGCCAGTGCTGAGATGCTTACACACTCACTGATTCGGCTTTCCTCCTGCAGTTGGCGTTGTAGTGTGTGTTTTGTGAGATGGAGGAGGACTTTGTGGATTAGTGTCACACATATGGGTTAATGTTGGACTTGTGGGCTTGGGCAGCACTGGGTTGGGATGTTTTCTTGAGGTGCACTTAACCTTTATATAGAACTCTCTCTCTCATACATGAGTTTGTATGGATTTGTTTCTCTAATGTACCCAGACTAACACAACACAATTGAGACTAATGACAAGATACTTGACAAGCTGTAGTATGACAGTAAGTCAAGAATATCATTCATGAAGGAAAAGGTCGTTAGACAATGAAAGAAAAGACCAACATGGATGTCAGAAGAGGCGCTGAAACTTGTTTGTAGAGTGGCTAGAACAAATGGAAGAAATAATGTAGTAAAAAGCTGAACAGAAAATTTCAAAGATCAGCTCACGAAGACAGAGGAAGTATTAAAATGAAATGTTCAAAAACCTGAAATTAGAAAGCTAAAAAGGAAGAACACATTAGGCGTATCTCAAAAGCTGAAAGAAGTGAAGAAAAACACCAAACCTCAAGTTGTTAATGAATAATGAGAAGCATCAAAAGATGATAGAATACCGAGTCACTGCACCAAAAAAGAATCGGCTGACATTCAGCCGATACCAAGTCTTGATACCAAAACAGCGCATATGATCAAGAACCCACAGAACTGAAGGGAGGAGTCGAAGCTGCACTGAAACCATTCGCATAAAACATGCCCCAGGAATTGAGAGAATACGAATTAAAGGTTTCACAAGTTGAAGTACTGGAAGCACTCACTAGTCTATGCCAAGACATTCAGAAGACGATTATCGGACCTACTGACTGGAAGAGACCCATATTTGTACCCATTCTAAAGAAAGGTGGCCCAACAGAAAATGGAATTTATCAAACATTATCACATTCAAGTTGATTTTTGTTGAAGATAATTCAAAAACAGCTGCAGAAGTACATTGGCAGGGAACCGCTAGAGGTTCGGGCCGGATTCAGAAGAGGACATGGATAAGGGACTTAGATGACTTGGCTGAATGCAGAGACTACCATAAAGATGTTTGCTTGTGTTTTATTGACTGTGCAAAGACACTTGACTGTATGGCTCATAAACTACAGATAATATTGCAAAGAATGGGAATTCTAGAACATTTTTTGGTGTTCACACAGCTCTGTACCAGTAGTTCTCAGCCTGTGGGTCACGACCCCTTTGGAAGTCAAACGACTCTTTCACAGGAGTTGCCTGATTCATAACAGTAGCAAAATTACAGTTATGAAGAAACAAAAAAAATTTTATAGTTGGAGGGGGGGGGTTCACCACAACATGTGGAACTGTATTAAAAGGGTTGCGGCATTAGGAAGGTTGAGAACCACTGCTCTACAGATAAGGAAGCAATTGCTCAAACAAAACAAAGTGAATACCACATGGTTTAAAGTCAGGAAAGGAATGTGTCAAGGTGGTATCCTCTCACATACTTAATTCAGTCTATATGCTGAGCAAATAACCTTGAGAACTGGACTTTATGAAGAAGAACGGGGCCAACATCGGGATTGGAGTAAGACTTGTTAAATTACTGTGCTATGCAGATGACACAACCTTGCTTGCTGAGAGGGAGGACTTGAAGCACTCATGAAAGTTGTCAGTGATTTAATTTTGCTTGGATCCATAATCGAAGCTCATAGAAGCAGCATCCAAGAAATCAAACGACATATTGCACTGGGAAAATCTGCTGCATAGAACCTATTTGCAGTGTTACAGAGTGAGAATGCCACTCTGAGGACTACTCTAATAAACGATGGGAGTTTTCATTACCTCCTATACATGTTACAGAAGACTGGAATGCATTTGAGTCATGATGCTAACAAAGAATACTGAGGAACACTGGACGACCAGAAGAACAAACCCATGCCTTGGAAGAAGTGCAGCCAGAACGCTCCTTGGAAACATGCGTGGCGAAACTTCCTTTCACGTACTTCATCCATGTGACTGGGAGAGACCAGTCCCTAGAGAAGGACCATCGTGCACGGCAGAATGGATGAAGACCCTCCAGGAGATACAGCTGCTGCAACAAACGGGCTCAAACTTAACGGCTTGTAGGGACGACGCAAGACCTGGCAGTGTTTTGTTCAGCCGTGCACAGGGTCACTGTGAGTTGGAACCAACTTGAGGGCACCCAACAGCGGCAAGTAGTAGTTTGAAAGAAGGGCGTTCAACCTTTGGAAGTGCAACGAAATACCAGGGCAGTGGCAAGTCAGGAGGAATAATGAATTATCAAAATAAGATGGTTGCTACCTCCTCCAAAGTATGTGAGGCCCTGGGGGAAACCTTTAAAAAGTTTAAAAACATTATGTTCATCGGCCCTTCCAACTCCTCTTCCCCCCTTAATATATTCAGCCTGCCGCTGTCTGGTCGCATGGGATTCTATGTCCCCGGTCTGTTCCACAGTCATGAGTCCATCTTTAAAGAACAATCACCCACTATGCCACCACCGGGCAGCTATGAATCAGAACTACCTGGATGGCACCTAGCACAAGAACAACTGCCATGAAGCCGATTCCAACTCAGCCACCCTGTGGGGCAGAGTGGGACCGCCACCTAGGGGGTTCTTTATGGAAGTGGAGGGCCATGTCTTTCTCCCACTGGGCAACCTTTTTGCTTAGCAGCTGAGAGTTACCCACTGTGCCACCAGAGTCCCTACAGTGGCCACGGGATGATAAAAGAACGAAAGATGTCTACCGCTTAAGGCAATGTCTGCATGCAGGCTTCCCGCTCTCCGTACTTTTAGGGCCTGAACCTCTTCAGAGCAAGGGAGAAAGGCCAAAGGCAAGCATCCCTGGGAAACCGGTTTGTGAAAACTTCCAAAGAGGACTACACTCACAGGCAGAAAAGAGGAGAGAAATCCTGAACGCTCATTTCTCTCGTAAGAAGCCCAGGGTCATCCCTGTCTGCGATGATGTGGGGCAGAGACACCACCCCCCTTGATGGAAGTCCTGGTTAGAGGACCAGTAACCGCATCCCTCCTGGGACCTGAGCCCCGAGACCTGGAAGCCTTTCTCTCCTCAGTCACTTTCCCAGCATGTTGCATCATGTTCACTCACAGAAGGTACAGAGTTGGGGAGCAGAAGATGGGGTCCCTGAGCGTTGAAGGGGCTTCAGACCAAGCTCAACCCACTGCACAGAGTCGATTCTGACTCCTGAGACACTGCACAGGGCTTACAAGTTCATAAAGCTTTACACTGCAGTGGGTCGAGACCCCTTTGGGGTCGAACGACCCTTTCACAGGAGTCACCTGCTTCATAGCAGTAGCCAAATTACAGTTATGATTACAGTTATGAAGTAGCAAGGAAAATAATTTTATGGTGGTGGATGGTTGGGGTTCACCAGAACATGAGGAACTGTATGAAAGGGTCGCAGCATTAGGACGGCTGAGAACCACTGGTTTACAGGGCAGACAGCCTCATCTCTCCCTTGGAGTAGCCCAACCCCCTCGCCCACAGCACCTCCAGGTCTCCTTTGGGGGGGTCACCAGCTGATTGTAAACATTTCAATGAGGCATGGAGAAGAGACATCTCTCTATCAGAAATGGGGAGTTCTGAGCACTTCAGGAAAGGGAAGAAAACTGCTGGAAACATTCCTTTTCTTGCTTTGAGGCCACTTTACTCACTCTGTAGTAACCCACCCAGCCCCCGTAGAGAGCCACGGCAGTGTCGTTCCAGCAGGAGGGCTCTCTGTCAACAGAGGGCCCTGAAGAAATGTGAGATTTGTTTAGACCCAGCTCTTGGTGACTCTTGAAGATTCAAGGCCGCCCCCCCCACCCCCCCACTCCAAGAAGTAAGGTTCCCCCTTACAAGCACCTTACAGCTGTCACAAACAGCAGCCTGACCTCGTCAGATGCTTGCTGGACGCGTGCACCTCCATCTCATTACTCTTGTACTCGTTGAGCTCCTTACGAATCGCGGCCTGCAATGTGAACCAGGACACGCTATGTCAGGACGTGCAAATGGCTAGCCGAGGGCAGCTGAAAGTGAAGCCCACTCCTTTTCGGTGGGCTCATAGGCCGCCTTTGTGTCTTGGAGAAATAACGCTTCCCTGAGGGTTGCACAGGGGCCAGAGGGGGTCACCTCGCCTGAGCAGGTCCTCCCAGCTGCCTGTGATCCACTGTCAGTGTCTCCACTCTCAGGTCACCCCAAGAGCCAGGCAACACAGAACAGGAACTGTAATGGGAAGCTCACTCCCTAGCCGACGGACTTCCAGTGCCAATGTCTAGGGCAGGGGTCCTCAAACTTTTTAAACGGGGCCAGTTCACTGTCCCTCAGACCCGTTGGAGGGCCAGACTAATGTTTTAAAAAAAAAAACTATGAACAAATTCCTATGCACGCTGCACATATCTTATTTTGAAGTAAAAAAAACAGATGGGGCAAAAACACCCGGCGGGCCGGACAAATGTCTTTGGTGGGCCGCACGTGGCCCGCGGGCCGTAGTTTGAGGACGCCTGGTCTAGGGCCTCGGTGCTCAGCATCTCACCCACAGGCAGTCGGGGCGGTCTGCGAGCCCCACAGCCTGCGTTCCGCCAGGGTGCTGGCGGGGCATGCACGTGACAAGGTAGAAGGCCTGATGGGCTCTCAGTAGAGGGTAATCCCGGGTATGGACCCTGCATACTGGCCAGTGAATGCCTTCACAGTCCATACCACACTGCTGACCTCAGACAAACGTGTGCCCCTGTGGGCCAATCCACACGAACCACGAAAAAGTGTGTGTCCTCACGGGTCACTCCACAATGCTGGCCCCCCTTGTGGAGTACTACACACCACTGCTGACCACAGACATGTGCGTCCTTGTAGGCTGCTCGATGCTGGCCAGCAGGTGCCCAGTGGGCCGCACGGCATTCCCAATCCCCAGACCCATGAACGCCTCCCAGGCCATTTGCACCACTGGCCCTCGTGGACACCCGCAAATCAGAGTCACCCCTGCCTGCAGACTTTGAAGACTTGGTGAATCGTGCAGCCCTAGCGCTGCACCCCTCGCTTCCCCAAGCCTCTGTGACCCTCTGTCTCCTCTTTAGGAGGTGCCTGAGGACAAGCCCAGAGCCTCCTCCTGCAGACTCTCACCCTCTGCCTGTGTGCACCTGTACCGCCCGCCCTCTCCTGCAGTGGACCTGCCTCCTCACAGGCAGCCATCTGGCTGGGAGGGGCTGAGTTACCGGAGTGGGGTTGCCCCGGGCATTGAGTATGCACCCTGACTCTGTCTGCTAAATGCCACTAGCACCCACAACTGTGACAACCAATTATGTCCCCAGGCCATGCCCAAGACCCAGGGAGGCAGCATTGTCACCCTGCTGAGAACTGTGCCCAACACCTGATCCCAGATGCACATCAGGGGACCCCCAGCTGGCCAAGCCATGGAATTCACCATAACTGTCTAAGAAAAACCCTCCAGGGAGACACTCCTGGCCCTCCCTCTGTGGCACCGCTCCCCGGCCAGGGCTGCCGCATACCTTATCCGCTGCCGACAGCCGAGTCCACGGCTTGTCAGCCCTCCGGTCGTAGTCCTGCGCTTTTGCCACTTCCACATAATCGCTGAATCGGATGAGGATCTTCCTGTCCCGCAGTTCATCGACGGTGGGCCTCTGATTAAGCTGCAAGAAAAGATGACGCAGGTGGACACACCACGCCAAAGCAACCTCCTGAGGCGCCCCCGCCAGCACGTTCATACGAGCCAGCAGCTGTAAGTGTGCTGCCCTGCCCGGCACTGTGCAGCCAAGGGCCTTGTGAAGGGCTGAACAGTAGCCTAACAGAGCCACCCCAATGCACAGCACAAGATCAGAGCCCCTGGACTCCCTCATACGGGCTTCTTCAAAACTGAACAGCAAACAAGGTTCTCCCACCAACTGCTAGCACTCCAGGGATGCTCAGAAAGGACCTTCTGTTAATGTCCACCAGAACAAAGCCACTACTCCCAGGTGTCCAGTTGGTGCTGACTGACAGCGACCCCACAGGACAGAGCAGAACTGCCCCTGTGAGCAGACGGCCTCAGCTTTCTCCCAAGGAGCCCCTGGTGGGCACAAATGGCCACCCTCACAGTGCGACCCACGGGACCACCAGGGATGGATCCGATTAGCACCTGCGATGCCTGCTAACTCCCTAAGGGGGCTGACCACGAGACACATCCTGCCACCAGCCTTGGGCACCACCTCCCAATGGGCACAGTACCTTCCTTGTCAGCCTCTGCTTGATCTCACGCCGCTCCTCCTGTTCCGTCTGGTCGTTCCTCTCTGTGGAAGGAAACGGTGGGGACAGGTGTCAGCAAGGGACAACTGCACTATGAGCAGGGACGTGGACCCCTCCTCCCTCCTCTTCACACAGCACAGCCTCCGCTTCACCTGCCGCTCCTCAGGAGGGTTGGTGTGAGGGTGGTGGTGGGGAGGGGGTGATGTGTGGGTGTTCCTCCTCCCTGCAGGATGGGATTCCCTGGGAGGCAGGTGGTTCTGGGCTTCAGTCTGCGGACCCAGCGGCTGGAGGGCTGGTCTGCTCGCTGCACACCTCTCTCCCTACCATGAGTCAGTGTTGACTCACAGCGACGCTGTTGGACAGTGGAACTGCCCTCGTGAGTTCCAGAAACACAAACTCTTCCTGGGAGTAGAAACCCCGTCTTTCTCCCCCTGTAACTGCTTACGGGCCTCATCTTTCTCCTGAGGAGTGTCCTCTGGTTTCAAACTGACAGCCTTGCGGTTAGCAGCCAAACTTGTCACCCACTATGCCGTCATGGCTCCCTCCTAACACACCAAAAGCAAAAATCAAACTCACCACCCTTGAGTCGATTCCAACGCCCACAGCCGCCCTCTACTACGGGGCAGGGTAGGACTGCGCCCTGGGCTTCAGAGACGTAACTCTCTCCTGGAGCAGAAAGCCCCATGGAATGTAGTTCCGCTCTGGCACACCAGGGCGCCAGCAGCCGGTGCCCACTCTAGGAGCTCAGCCTGGACTGCAGAGAGGATTCCCTTGGAACAGCACCTGCTCGTCCTTCTCACCCAGTGGGCGAGCGCCCTTCCCATAGGGTCAGCATCAGACCGGGAACCCCCTCCCCGGGCCCTGAGCAGCATCAGACCATCGTACCCAATCCCCACTTGGCGAGTCTATTTCACACCCTTAGGAGGAAGCCTGGGGTTTTCTGCTCCCATGAAGAGTCACAGTCTCGGAATCCCACGGAGACAGTTCTAGCCTGTCCTAGGGGGTCGCTGTGTGTCGGCTCGATGGCAGGGAGGGTGGCTTTGGTGCTTCACATCCACCAGTCCTCCTGAACCCAGCTGGGTCTCCACAGCCCACCTCACCAGGCCCCGCCAACCGCTGTCCACCACCTCCAGGCTTTCCTGGCCACCCTCCTCGGCCACTCCGGCTCTGAAAGACCCGAGTGGCAGCCTAAGGGCAGGGGTGGCTGTGTGTGACTGCTCACACACATGCTGCACTCACACCTACATCCGGGAACTAAAAACAGCTCTCTGCGCAGAGATGTAGTATGAAGCAGATGCAGCCCAGGGCATGAGCTAGATAATGGATGTGCTATTTCTGGAGCTTTGGCTGCTAAATAAAGCCCGGGTCCCTGCAAGGCCGTGTCAAGACCTGAGCAAGAGGGTTTCACCAGCAGGTCTCCTTGAACCACCTCCAGGCTGGGAGCGGGCACGTGGGCGCCCTGCGGCCAGCCTCACAGGCAGCTGGGGCTGCATAGATGGGCGGTCCCGTGTCTCCGCCCCTACTCCTCTCAGTAATGTCTGGAACTCCCACAGGGACTCTGCTGTGGACCAGGGTGGGTTAGAAATGGAAGTGCCCCTCACTTGTGCTCTGTGAGGAGGCCAGGACTACGGCTCTCTGTCTGACAGACTGAAGGTCCTCGATCACCCTGCAGGGAGCCGCGTCTGTGATGCCATTTCTCCACCTGTGTGTGCTCACGTGGCCTCTGTGTGTCCCATTTGGGCCATTCTCACCCTGTGCCGGGCGCTTACAGAACCCTATTCTACTGCTATTCGATCTGCAGGGTCGGCAGTTCAAAGCCACCAGCAGCTCCAAGAGAGACAGGGCTTTCTACTCCTGTCCAGTCACTGCCTGGGAAACCCCCAGGGCTGGCTGTCAGTCAGCACAGACTTGATGACAACAAGTCTGGTTTGCGTTATGGTACATTACACAATGAACAGACACTCAAAATTCATCGTGCCACCGAGTCGATGTCAGCTCACAGCCTCCCCAGAGGGCAGGGCTGACCTGTCCCTGTGGGTTTCCAAGACCGTAACTCTGATTGGGAGCAGAAAGCCTCGTCTTCCTCCCACGGGGTGGCTGATGGTTTCGAACAGCCGACGCTGGAGTTGGCAGCCCACCTTGGCACCCAGGACTCCACAGTCAGTAAGTGGTGGTCAGAGAGCTGCCTAGAGACGCTCACCATGGAGTCCCCCTTCTCTCCCCCCAGGATAGGGGATCAACCACGTGTCATCTAAAGCAGGTCACCGGGCTTTTCTTCCAGGGGCGAGCTTGAACCTCTGACCTCTGGGTTAGCCGTCCAATGCACACTGCATGCGGCGGGGTTGGCGGCCCGGCAGTAAGTAGAAATAACAACAAGGAGGCCCGCCCCAGGGGTGCTTGGGCTGGAAGAGACCATGGCTCCAACTTTCCCAAGCCCAGCCGGAGCGAAAAATGCAGGCAAAGTTGGACTGGCTTGTAGCAGAGTGCCTGGACACAAGCAGCTCTTTGAGAAATGCTGACTAGTGCCTCCTCTGTCCAGGGGCCCCACCACATGAGGTCCTTCTTAAGGACCCAGCTCTCTGGGGGTGGGGGTGAGGGGCGGATCTGTGCGTCCGGTCCGATGCTCCTCTAAGTCAATGCTTCACAGTCTCTGGCAAAAGAGACCCTCCCCAGAACCCAGCTGTGGCCAGCTGCCCAGTCATGCTGACCTACAGCAGCCCTACAGGTGAGGGGGACAGCTGTACCGAGGAGTGCTCTGGACTGTGACCTTCCAGAAGCCTTTCAGAAGCAATCGCCAGGCCTGTCTCCACGGCATCAGCCCCCCAACCTTTGGACTCATCGTTGTTGTGTGCCTAAGCCTTTGTGCCAGCCAGGGACACCCGCATGCTCTGGACGTAGCTCTAGCAGCTGGGCACTCACACCTGAGCGGCCGCAGTCATCAGGCGCAGTGGTTAAGGACCAGGACCCTGGAGCCATGCAGACTTGGGTGGACCGCTACCTCCAGCTCCTTACAAAAGCTCACTGTGAGGTCTGCCCGGGCTCTGAGCCTGGGCTCCTCACTGGTAAAGAGTCAGGCAGCCTTCGCAGGCTTGGGAGAATGATGAAAGGACCTGCCGAGCACAGTGCCTGGTATGGGGGAGGCTCGATAAACCATCACCACCACTGTCTTCATCACCATCACACCCCTCATCACTGCCAACCACCACCATCACCATGAACACCAGTCACCACCATCATCATCACCATTGTCACCTGTATTACCATCACCACACCATCATGATCACTGCCACCATCATTACAACCATCTCCACCACAACCATCACTACCATCATCACCACAATCATTACCACCATATTCACTACCACCACCAATACCACACCATCATGATCATTACCACCACTATTATTACAACCCTCCCACCACCATCATTACCACCATCCTCACCACCATCACCATTAGATCACTACCATCACCATTATTACAATCATCCCCACTACAATCATTACCACCATCCTCATCACCACCAAGATCACTACCACCATCCTCATCACCACCATCACTACCACCCTCACCACCATCATGATCAGTTCCATTACCATCACCACCATCATGATCACTACCACTACCACCATGCCCACCATCACAATCATCACCATCACCACCATTATCGTTACCACTAATATGATCACCATAATCATCAGCAACACCACCACCACCACCCACCATCATGCACTACCCACCACCTCCACAATCACCAGTCACCACCACCATCACTACCATTGCCAACACCATCCCTGCCATCAGCAGCAGCACCACCACCACCACCACCACCACCACACCAGGCCCCGTACCCAGGAACACACAGGCAGAGCCGAGTGCCCCCCGACAGGCCCACACTTAGGCATGCGCTCCCCACTCAAGGGAGCGAGTACAAACCGCTTATGTTCCAAGATCTGCTTCTCAGTGGGAGCTGCTGGGTAGCAGGAACGACTGGAGCCTGTGTGTCCAGGGCCCAGTGTGCTGCACCGCAGTGGGCCATAGAGGGTGACACTGTTTTCATCTCCAGGGGACAAAACAAAACCAAACCAACCGCACAGCCACCACGCCGAGCGGGGAAGCGCTCCAGGCTCCCACTCGCAGCGCTGGCCCTGAGCGTCAGTAGGCACAGGGGGCGCTGTGGCTCGGACACAAAGCACAGGGGCAAGAGCGTCCTACAAGCGCGAGTCCCCTCTTCACCAGCATCAGTTCCATTTCAAAGCCCCACCACTGCCCTGGTGTAAAGGACCACACAGTCAGAAGCCCAGGGGGTGGGCAGGGGAGCCTGAGGGTGCTGCGGTGAACACGGCACACAGACCAGCACGTGGAAGCCAGCAGCCATGGCGGGGGAGAAAGTTGTGCCCGCTGCTTCTGTGACAATGCGAGAAACCCTAGGGGTTGGCTCTGGTCTGTTGGACAGGGGCCCCACCAACTAGAAAGGCCTCCGCACCAGCCGTTTGATCTCGGTTCTGCTGGTGGGAGGACTCGGCTGCCCAGAGAGCAGGGGAGTGGTCCCCAGGCCAAACACTTGGACCCCTCTCTGCCCAGGTCCCGGGAGAGCACTGCCCTGTTCTCGAGTGGGTGCTTTTTAGAGGCATCTATGGCTTGCGGAAGACTACAAACAAATCTATCTTGGAAGAAAGATGGTGGAACTTCGGCTCATGTACTTTGGGCATTTGTCCATGAATAACTGGTCCCTGAAGGAGGACATCCGGGTTGGAAACAGAGGTTCAGCAAAAAAAAAGAGGAAGGCCCTCCACAAGATGGACAGACGGACACCACAGCTCCAACAATGGGCTCAGACAGGACAACAGTGTGCACTGTTGCACGACCGGGCAGTGTTTCACTCTGCTGTGCGCTGGCTCGTTAGCAGTCTGAACTGATTCAACGGCTCCTGCACTGCACCGTGACCAACAAGCTTTCTACATAGGTGGCTTCCCTTGTTCGAAATCCAAACACTTGGGGATCATTGAAACAGCCTGCACTTCTTTGTGCCTGCTTGACCACATCCAGGGAAGTCTCGCTCCCCAGAGGAGGCCCAAGACCAGCCTCCACTAGTCTGTGGCTGGAGCACAGCCCAACGCTCCGCTGCCAACAGAAAGGCTGGAGGTGCAAGTTTACCTAGAAGTACCTCAGAGTCAAGGCCAGGCAACCTGATGCGCTGTGTCCAAGTCACCTGCGTGGCTCAAACACCTTCCATGTCTGGTCCACATGAGCAGGTGTCTAGTATTTTAGAACCACGACGGTTTCCAAACCGCAGCGGGGCAGAAGCCCATCAGCACCCAGGTGCGGCACAGCCCGGGCCCCTGAGCGGAAGACGGCTGCCCTGGATGCTGTCTGAACGCTTCACGAACAGGTCTTCGTGGAGTTCGGCCACCACGGAGGGCGTCTACCTCGCCCTCACTTAAGGGAAGCAACCCCGAGGGCGGTTACAGCTCACACCCACAGCCCCCGCGACCCCCGGAGACCATGTTTCACAGGCCAAACGACTTGGAAGCTAAGGTCCGGGTTGGGCGGCGCCCGCGGATCCAGCCTGCCCTTTGAGAGGTGGATACCGTGCCCTAGTCGGCTGGCACCTTGCACAGCCTAACGAGAACCCACAGGGGCCACCGAAACGCCCGCCCCTCCCGCCAGCAGTAAGCTGGGCACCACACTGCCTGTACCCATAGGGTGTAACCCGAGTCCCAAACTCGGGGCCCGGGCGGAGAGTATCTGGGCTGGGGCAGCAAGCCCCGAGGGACGCTCCTGTCTCCGGCCGCGCCCTGAGCCTGGCGTCCCTGCTGCAGGGGGGCTGGGGGGACACTCACGTTTCAGGATGTTCCTGCGCTCCAGCTCCTCCACCGCGGGCCGCTGGCTCAGCCGTCTGCGGAAGAACACCAAGATCACGTTCTGCACCATCGCGGGCGCCGCGCGCCCGGGCCCGCCGGGGAGCGGACGCCTTGAGCCCCGCCGGGCAGCGGCGGCCTGGGGTCACCGGGCAGCCGCGGGCGACCGGGCTCTGCACGTGCAGGACCTCCCGGCCATCCTCATCATCGTGGTGCCGCACGTGGGAGAGCCTGGAGCCCCCTCTGGGAGCAGCCGGGGTGCGGGTGGGGGGCAGCACCCTCGCCTCTAGGAGTCTGCACCCTAGGGGCCCTGGGGCCGCCTGGCTGGCCAGTCCTTCTCGCCGGGCTCTGGATGACTGGAGAGGGTGGCCAGTGTGCGCCTCAGACCGCCTGGGGGGAGCGGGGCGGCTCTCGTGGCCCCCCAGCTGCTAG